GGTTAAAGTTAAAGTTGATTACTTATTGTAAATTCTGGGTAAATTCATTTGAAATGATTCTTGCCTAAATGAATGCAGGCTAATTAACTAATTCAAAGAATATTTACGCTTTGCCACCAAATAAATACCATATTTAACTATACAAATATTGGTTTAACTTATATTTTCAAAAAATGTCACTTAGACCCTTATGATTCTAACCCCTTCAGTTGTTTTCTTTTTAATTTTCGTGTATGATAAAAAATAACATATTTTGTATTTGTTATTTGTATGTAGTATGCATTTGAATCGCTCTTCTATTGCCATTTAAAATATTTTAACAACCTTGTCATTGTTGAATCTATTATCGCTTCACCACTGTATTTCAAAGAAAAATATCTGATTTATAAACCTACCTTTACGCCCATCAATTCAATCACTTGATATCCCTTTAGATACACAGTGGATACAACTTTTTATAGCGTATACGGAGTTCAGAGAATCGCCGAAGGTAATTGGTGAAATTCTGCCTATGCCAGTAAGGGCCGATTACTCAATGTCTGGTTAACACTAATCTCCGGTTAAACATAGTTATCGACGTTATCGACTCCCTGTTGTATGCATGGAGTCGAAGACGTCGATAACGATGTTTAACCGCAGATTAGTGTTAACCGGACATTGAGTAACCGGCCCTAAGAAACGCATTTTTTAAGGTATTTGGCAAACAGTTGGACCTATCCAAGAAACAGAATGCGGGCAAAATGGATATTGTCCCAATTTGGCAAGCCTACTCACAGTGCTGACAAAGTGACATACTACCACAAACCAGAGATATTTTCTGTTTCATGAGAAAAGAAACCTACCAAAATTTTAAGCGTCCTACCAACGAGAAAAAAAGCCTACCAATTTTGGTAGGAAAAGCCCAAAACGGCAACCCTGTTTCTGAGGTTGTCTGCTTATAAAATAAATGTGGTCGTATGGAAAAAAACAACTTATACCATTAAGGAACAGAATAAACAGCAAGGGACCTAAAATGTCGCCCTGAGGAAAGCAAGCTGTAGCTGTGAACGGCACAGACGAAACAAAGGCGATTTACTCGGTTTTTCTAAACCGGTTTCCACCGTTGATAACGATTGACTCCGTAAACCAAGAAACTTCGGAACAAAAATCCGAGCAAAATCGTTACGGTAACCCTATACTTGCATTAAACTCATACCTAGTAATAATAATAATAATAATAATAGATTGGCGCTTACACATACATATGTTAGTGTTTGGCTGAGCTTCTCCTCCGATTTATAGGGTACGCCTTGATGCTGTCACACAAAGAGGAGGGACTTATCGTTTTCCGCAGACATTTTTCTAAGTTTTTAGAGCACGAACAAAAAAAAATCCGACTATATTAATTCTTTAACCATAAATTCGCATCAAAAACTGCTTTTATTACGTTAGCATCAATATTAATATTTAGGCGCTTATACTTTTGCTAAGTGGTTTGCCGAGCTTATCCTCCAATTTATTGAGTATGTCTTGATGAGGGATTCCAGTTTTACGCCGGCGAATGGCAAATGGATGTTTTGAGATACACTGAGGTATGCCATTTCTTGCAAGTTTTTGCTAATTTTTGTTCTCATCCTTTTTTTTATATTGTTCTAATTGAGAGATAATCGTTTATTACTCTCCTGCAAGTTGCCCCGGGATATTTTTAACGGGAGATTATTCGAGAAGACGAAATATTGAGTCCACCGAGTCCATCAGACTCGTTATTCCGCATTACCTTCGTTTGTTAATACTGTCTGTCTATGCTTTAGGAATACGAAAAAATTGCGATATTATCGGCGATAATTTTCACGTAAATGTAGGGCATTAGGGACGTCTGCAATAGAAAAGCTTGCAGGGCATATGAAGCCTTGAGCGCCCGAGTGAGGTAATAGATCGAGGCGCGTATATCATCACGTAGGTGCAATGAACTTTTTAATAAAAGGCCGCATTTGTTTTTTATAGATCCTTCTTTCTCCCATTACTATTTTATTTTTTATTTATTTTTTGCAGATACATAGGCTCCTCTAGCCCTCATGGCCTCATATGCACATAAAAACGTTGCATGTATTTCTTTAATTGAAATGCTCTTATTCATATATATGTAGGTTGCAATAAATAATTTTTATTTAACTTTAGAATTCTGAGGCTTCTCGAATAAGACCTAAACACATCTTAAACTTGAACACAGACGAGAAACTCGAATTTTTGGCGTCTTTCGACCGCGTTTTCTCCGACATTGATGGTATGTATGGTTGTTTAAAGCTATAAATTCTATATTATAATCCCTTAACACCCATCTGCACCGGTTTTCTCTATAGGCGTGGCTTGGAACTTAACCAGCAGTATACCGCGTGCTGTGGAAGGATATCAAGCGCTTTTAGAGGCTGGTAAAACTCTTAACTTCATAAGCAACAATAGCGTACGGTCACCCAGTGAATATGAGCGAAAATTCAAAGATATAGGCTTGGAAGTTGATTTGGTTAGTCAAACAACAGCATTAGTTGCGGACTTATCACTTACTTGATAGAACTTTTTGTTTCATGTATAGGACGCGCTGGTGCACCCAGCTAAGAGTATTCTTCAATATCTTAAACATATAAATTTCAAGGGTCTCATCTATGTAATCGCCACGGAGCGGGTGAAGGATATGTTACGAGAGGCTGGCTATGATATTATTGATGGCGTTCGTATATGCATATGACCTTTTTTTTTTGATAACACTGTAGAGACGCTTAAATGACAAAAAAAAAAAAATAAAACGCCGAGGCACTTAAACTTAATTTTGGGTCATAAATTACGGACTTGTATACTGTTTTTCTTTATCATTGTCATTTATCAACGCGAATAAAAAATTCTAACTTTAATAGGGAAAGTATTAAAAAATAACAAATTGTTTGCAATTTTTTTCATTTGAATTAAAACCTGTGCCTTTGCAAAAAATCAAGCTACTAACGGCGCAAATCGATGTATAAATAAAAGTTTTCAAAATTGTTCCGCATTTGTATTTGATCATTTACAACTTTTTTATTTATCCATCGGTTTTCTTCGTTCGTAGATTGATTTTTTTGTGTAAGCACAGGCTTTAGTACAAATGAAAACGGACAAAAGCTCTCTTATATTTTCAATTGTTTCCCTGTAAAAGCATCCATTTTTTTCGTTCACGATGTAAATTAAAATGAAAATATCTTTGGAAAATTACCTGATCTAGAAAAACGGTATAAAGGTTCAAAATCTAACACCCAAATTTAAGTTTACGTGTTTCAGCGTTTTTTTGTGTCGCTGCCAAACTTGAGACTTTCCCTGCCAACAAATTAGAAAACTAATAATTTTCCACTTTATTAATTTTCTTCAGCCAACGAAGATTATTAAAGAATCCTTCTCCGATTTGGCTCGCAATGTTTTCGGTGATGAACCGGTGCGCGCTGTCATCATTGATGTGGACTTTAACTTGTCTTCACCGAAACTCATCCGTGCACACGTCTTCTTGCGTCATCCCGATTGTATATTAATAGAGGGTGCCACTGATAAGCTCTTACCGGTGGGAAACGACTTGGATATTATTGGACCTGGACCATTTGCCCAAGTTCTTGCAGGATCGAGTAAAAAACACTTAATTACGCTGGGTAAACCAGGCAAGGAATTGGGTGAGATGCTTGTGAAAAATTTTGAAATTGAGGAAACGAAACGCGTGCTGATGATTGGCGATATGTTGGAGCAAGATATTGGTTTTGGTAGGCAATGTGGTTTTCAGACACTGGCCGTGCTGAGCGGTGGTTGTAAGCTGCAAGATTTGGAAAGAGAAACTATTCGCGATAACATACCCGATTATTATGCGGATAGTATTGCGGATTTTATTGAATTCATGAATGATTTGAATAAGTCCAATGTGTGATGATTTTTTAATGAGTACAAAAACAAATAATTAAGTTTTACGTTAAGTATTTTATTAAATATGTTTTTTATTTCACCATTAACTTACAAATACTAAATGGTATTATGGATCATTTTTGATGAAAATATGGCAATAAAACACATTTTAGGGCCGACTTCTCAACATTTTCATGACGTCACATTTAAAAACTTATTTTTGAAAAGCAGTAAGTGATATAAAGGGTTTATTAAGACATTAGGAAACCGATCCATAAAAAATAACAAATGATCTAATTAAAATTTGTTATGGAAGAAAACCATTCAAGTCAGCCAAACCATCGACCACATAATCCGGCATTTCAATATCTAGTAGCTTTGACTCCAAGTCTTTCCGTTTTGTGCTGCCACTGAGTACCAGCAAAGTTTGAAATCCACACATTTTACCGAATCTCACGTCTGTCACAAGACTGTCACCGATAAAGAGGCCACGGCGAGGATTTTGTAGGTGCTCTTTTCGCATCAAAGCGTCGCGCAGAGCCACACCGGGTTTGCCCAAGATCAATGGCTGGCGTTTTGACGTATTTTCAACTACAGATATGTAAGGGCCTGGTCCTGAAAAAAAAATGGTAAAAGGCTCGAATAAGTTTTTTACATAGCTTTTTATTGTTCAAACGGTAAATTAGATGGTTATATAAAATATAAAATAAAATGTATACAAACTTTTTAAATGAACAAGTCGAATATATGTTTGTGCGTTAAAAAATTTCACACGTCTCAACATTCAAATTAAAAATAATTGCCAAATTCGGACTGCCTATTTCTATTTAAAAATAAATAAAAATTGGCCTCCTTGTAATCGGTCATCGATTTCATTGAAACGATCATCAACCTATTTTTCTAAAGATTTATGAACAAACAACTGATTGCTATACCCTTAGTAAAAATAAGGGACCCTAATCATTACACTGTAGGGACGCTAAAATGACACTAATTTTGAATCGTAGATTACGGATTTAAATATCGTTTTTCTAGATCAGGTAATTTTTCCAAGATATTGCATTGCGAATAGAAAGAAGTAAAATTTTAATATGGAACATGTTCCCCATACGCCATCTACGGTTAGATACGAGTACTGCTATGTATGATATGGCGTATGAGTAACATTATTTCCTGCTTCTACTTCATACTAAAAATTATTACGTATTTTCATTTGACCATTCAAAAGTGGTGTATTTATTCACCGATTTTCATCTTTGGTAGCTTAACTTTTTGGCAAACAGAATCGGCTTTAGCACAAATAAAAAAAATTACAAAACCGATGTTAGTTTTTTAATTATATCCTTGTTAAAGCTTGAAGTTCTTTTCATAAGAATTAAAATGATGAATGCAAAAAAAAAATAAAGGTATCATTATATCCCCGCCCTTATGCCAGAAGCATGAATGTGCAAATTTATCAGTTTTGAGTTATTGGATTGACTTGATTAACCTTTGGATGTTCTATGTTATACCACCTGCGTAATCGATGTGCAAAGTCAAAAGCGTTAACCACTGAGCAATGTACACCCGTAAACTCTTGTTGCTAATTCATTTTCCTTATTCTACCAACTACTATCAAGTGCAGCTGATTTGTCGCTATTTATTTTGTTTTGAAAAATTACAAAAATTAAATTGAGCGAAAACAAAAAGTAAACCCAAATAAAAGTAAAAGAATCAACATTGAACTGCGTCAAAATGAAAATAAGGGAGCAGGAATTTCGATGTGAAGCAAAATTCTCTAGGAAGACAATACCTGTAATCATTGTACCATGCGGCGACAACATATGCATATAAATTGATAGCCGTTTTCGTTGTTCGGACTGAACGCAAAAACCACTGAATAGAGTTCCGTCAAATTGTCGGATTATATGCCACTAGAAAACTCGCTAGGTGGCACAGGAGTAGATTTATTAAAAAAAGTCGTATTTATTAATCGATTTCGTTAAAATTTTAAAAGTGAGCTATTTACCTGTGAGATGATTTGTTTCTTTTTATAAAAATGGACCCGCTGGGTGGCGCTGGAGTCGAGGTATTTGGAAAATCCGTATTTTTTATACAATCTGGTTGAAATTCATAATACGTATTCATTTTATGATAAGCAATGGTTTTGCAGAAAATGGACCCATTGGATGGCGCTGCAGCCGAAATGTAGGAGCCCGTGTATTTGGTCTGCTTTGACCCTATGCTTAAGTTATACGAATTTAGTTTTCAGATGGATAAATGAAGGATGGGGTTAAGTATGCATAGAAAGAGCGCAATGTACGGGTAAACTTTTCATCCTGTGGGATAGCGAGGATTCTTGGCCCTCCTTTAACGGAAACGCACATCTGTACTCTTGAGTTTCCTTATAAGGACTTTTATTGGCTTTCGCATCGGACCAATGTCGTAGTTGCAATATCATAGAGAAAAATTACGCATGCTTGGCAAAGATCTCACAGGTGGAAATAACACCATCTGTTTAGGCCTCCACGCTAAATCAAATACTTAAAGTAAATTATCGGGTGTACCACCCTAATGTTAATTTAACAGATGCACACACATACACATTCGTATGTGAAACAAGACAAAAAGAAAAACTGCACTTTTCCTGTCAGTGCACCTTCGTTAAATTTCCCCTGAAAACGGAACTCTTCAAACCGTTTAGAGGGTTCGACTTCAGTTTCTAACTTTTTAAACTTTCTATTGGATTTCAATCACCAGCGATTACGGACGTTCCGCCACCACACCACTTCATAATCAAGGTAATATTGTAAGCCCCCTTGAATTTTAATATACCTATTAAATAAACCGTCAAACTTAATTGTATTTCAAACTAAAACCTGGTGCTTTTGTTTTCTTATTTTTCCAATAAAAAACACTGGTGCACTTATCGAGTCTATACCCATTAAGTCGCCAGGGTTTTTCATGGTCCTTCGAGCCGGATATTTGCGGCTTTTGTTATATCCACTAGACGACCAAGTCGTCTAGGGGGGCCGGTATGTTTAGGCGCGTCTGCTAACACCAGGCGCCTAAATACATGCTATGTACTGCTGCATGTGCAAAAATTTCCTTTATGCAATTTAGGAAATTTTTGCACATGCACTTCTCAACTGCCAAGTAATTGAACTTTCTTAAGTTTCAATAAGATGGCACTTCAAAGTATGCTCTGCCTAGTCGGATGCATCCTCCGGACACTGCTTCCGGAGCATTCTGCGGACTCTGCATGGCTTACAACCATGCGGAGGTGGTAATAGTTGATTACCATTGGCCACAGTGCCTACCCACTACTTTTTGGTCCAATAAATATTTTTTTTATATACATACATGCAAACATACTGGTCTCCCCTCTCACTGAGTTATTCACCATCGGTAAAACTCTTGACATATAAAGGGATTAGTATTCCATATGGTATCACAGCGTTAGAATTCTTGGCCTATGTGTAAGGAGAATACTGCGCTTTAGTGCATAAACTAAAAATTTTGACTTTACAGACTGTTTTTGATTTTAAATGCTCTTTCGCATTGGCCAACACAAAGGTTCTTATTTGGCGCCGCGAAGCAGGCGGGCATTGGCTAGTAATCTAATAAATATGTAAATACATATGTATATACATACCTATAACATCCTTTCCATCAACTGTTATGAGTGTATCTGCAGCACCGCCAATGAATAGACATTCAGGGTTATTTTTTAAATGCCAATGTGCTCGCATCATTTTTGGTGCTGTCAAATTGAAGTCGACATCAATAATCACGGCTTTTACGGGATCATTGCTGTGTATAGCTGCACGCAAATCGTCCACAGAGTGAACGTAAGTGACGCACTGAAAACAAGGTTTATGAGCAAATATTTATTAACATACGTAGTATGCAAATATTTTGTGCTCCTGTATCGAAGCCACTCACCTCCTCCACCACCTTGAAGCCGGCCTCACGCAGTAGTGACTTAAATGCATTTGATGCAAGACAAAAAATAAGACCATCAAACTGTATTGATTTCAAATGATCGCATATTGTCTGCGCTGGATGCACAATATCACACTGTTTGTGTTTGGGGAGAAATAAGATTGTATAAATAAATAGGTGCACTTTTTTAATTAATGTCGGCGCGAACGGTTGCAATTACCTTTTCCACCTCGATTCCGCAATTTGCGAATTTTCTTAGCTGCACTTCAATGGGTATGATGCTATTGTTTGTGACATAGATGACTTGCTTGCCCTGTCTTTTGAGATAATCGATTGCTTCCGGTGCACCGGGCAGCTCTTCACGCAGTGACTCCCAAATGACGCCTAATAGTATTGGGTGCAAATTTTTAGTGTGTACATACATAGGTATGAATTTTTAATTTGGGGTTTGGAGAAAAAATTTATTATGATTTGGTGACAAAGTATGCAGTGTTAGAATGAAAAGCTTACCATCACAATCGCAAAATATTACATCGAATGAATCGAAAAAGTCTCGTTTCTCCTTGGGTGTGAGTTCGGTGAGGTATTTGAATGGCTTTGAAAGTTGTAAATCATTCATTCGTGATGCTAATTCGGGAGTAGATTTCTAAAAAGACATGTTAAAAATATTTAAATGAACTTATTTTTGTGATTTAAGCAAATTATTTTTAAAATAACAATGTTAAGTGTACGCCAGCTATTTCGCTTGTTGTCCTTTGACTTTGTAATAAAGTCTTCTTAGAGACTGCTGTGTCTGTGTGTCACATGTGCGCCTGTGATTTTTTTCATTGCCAGTCTGTGAATTTCTGGACGTTTCTTCTTACGGTCGGCGAAAAATATTATATGTACATATGTATATACGAACCCAGATATGGCCGCGCAGTTACTCGCGACCTGCGACCGTAAAGAGAATTAGGCCTCTGATTACGACCAGGAATGTCCGAACACTTAATGAAGAAGGTGTCTCTGCCCGACTGACCTACACGGAAAGACCGACATTTTTCGTTTGTGTACAAACACAGTCAGATGGATTCGCTTTCATAAATAAATTGCGGTACAGTTTTGTATTTATCATTGGACAGAGACTGCATCGCCAAGTAGTGACGTTCACCCCGTGGGAGAGAGTCTTATTCAACGTGTCGCTCTCTTACCGCTGACGCCTAGGGTG